AACTCAGGCCCTTGCGCTTGCCAGGGAAGCACTTATTCCACTGAGCCATCTCCCCAGCCCCATTGATCTTTCTTTCTTTTTTTTTTTTTTCCCCAGGCTGATTTCAAACTTATGGCTATCCTCCTGCCTCAGCCACTCAGGTACATGCATACCACAACTAGCTCCTCTTCTCAGTTTTATTTTGCTTGGTTTTTTTGGTACCAGGAATTGAACTCAGCACCTTGCACTTGCCAGGCAGGCTGTCATGCAGCTAAGCTAGTTTCTCTGTTCTCTGTTCTCTCCTCTGCCCCCACCCCAGGCCTTCTTTTCCTTGGCTTGTGCCTGAGATGCTACAGCTTCTCTTATCTCCCTTGCCTCTAGCCCTCTGGGGCAACCTCATCCACACCCACGGGGAGCAGCTAAGCTGGATAAGCACCACACATCCGGGGCTAAAGCAAGGCCAGTCCCGAGAACAGGGAGTACTGAGGTGAGCCAAGTGAACACGCTGTTCCAACTCCAAGAACACGAAGCGCTCAAGTGAGCCAAGCAGATGAGTTGCTAGGCAGAGGGGTTTCAAATGATACCAACTTCCTGAGTATATCAATAAAAGCACTGCAGTCACTGGGGTTCTTTCTCTCCCACCCGGAGAGAAGGCCCCGCCTGATCCCAGCTTTCTGCATTTGACTCTTGTTTTTCTTCATCCTCCACCATCTGCCCTCCAGAGTTTCAAGAGCTCAGCATGCCCTGTCTTCACATCCACCTCTCGCTCAGTCTCTCTAACCCTCTGCCTTCTCTCCAGGGACCACAGCATCTCAAATTCAAGCGTCCAAAGGGGAAGCATGGTCAGCAGCTCTCCACACATCTGCCTCTTCCTAGCCCACATTGGGGTGTCCTGGGCATCAGGCCGGAGACCCAGGAGACACTTAAACTCACTTTACCTTGTGACTATGTTCTACTAACTGGTCCCACAGTCATCTTCGGATGCACCTAATGACAAACACTACCTCTCTAAAGAATCATGAGTTTATTCAGGAATGAGCAGGGGATCTGCCAATCCAGGATGTGTGGTTACATAGATCACAGGCATGTGTGAGTTACTGCGAGGAGAAGCTTTTAACATTTTTTTTAAAAAGTTCCTGTAAGCTGTTTTAGAACAAAATTCACTGATCACAGGAACTCCCCTGCAGGAGCTAACATCCTGATTGGCTGTTACTGGGAACGTGTCTTCACAAGAAATGACCTTGACTGAAAACTTGTGGTTAGCAAAGATACTTCCAAAGTTGAGATTTCAACTGGCCATCTCTTGTGGTACTTCCTATTATAAGGCAAATACGCATGTGACCATTCCTGGCTCCACTTAGTTTGGCTTTGATAGAAGCAGCCCCATCTGGGAGCTGACTACTTCCACCTTCTACTTGTTTCCATCCTGAGGGCTTCCCTGGCAGTCTCCAGCCTCAGTGGCGCCAATCTTCTCCACAGTTCACTCCCACAGTAACAGCGGGTGAGCACATACACCCACCCACCCAAAGCTCACCCTGCATGCTAGGTATTTAAACACACTTCACTGATAAACAGAAGTTCCCACCAGGCGCAAATGTGCCCCAAGTCAGAGTTGAAGCTACTGGCCAGGACTCTTAAGTTCACGCTCCTATATGTCCCTAGGCTAAATGAAAATCTGGGCCACTTCTCATGGTGTTCCGTGGACCACTACTAGCTACTTCTTTCTTGTGTGTATGGTACTGAGGATTGAATCCAGTCTTCATACTGAGTTATACCTATGGCCCTTTAATTTTTCTTTAATTTTTCTTTTGAAATCGGGTCTTGGTAAGTTATGAGGTTGCCAAGCAGGCTGGGCTTGAATTTGTGATCCTCCTGCTTGGCCTGCTCTGGGATTACAGGCATGTACCACATTGTCCAGCTGACTTCTTTCAATAGTATCTCCTCTTCCTCCCCTGTACCATGCTCCCACAGCCCTCTACCACTCCCATAGCTTCAGATCCTTCCTTGATCCACAAGTGCAACCTCTCTCCAGAGCTTCAGACCCACACAACCACTAGCTTAGATGTTACACAGGCACCTCAGTTTTCCAAAACTCTCTCCCTTGCACCCAACCTGCTCCTCTTCCAGGTGCCCCATCAGTGACTGCTCTGCCATTTATCTGCCCAGCTTCCCAAGCCAAAGCTGGGCTCCATCCTTGACTTCTCCTCACACTTGTTCATTCTACTTGAACAGCTCCCCAATTCTGACCTCCTTTATTCATCCTGGCTCAGAACCCCATCATCATCTGCTTGGTCTGGGTCACCACCTCATCTCTTAGATCCCTTTAATCCATTCTCCATCCTGCAGCCAGTCATCTTGGTACAAAATCCTTTGATGAGAAAATGTTTTGCACGATTTTAAGTTACCAACTTAAAAAAGATATAATGAAAACATAAGTAGTGATAAATACATTATAAACTACAAGTATAACAGAGTTGTCATTAATATCACTGAAATGAAAGTTGTAACTTTCATACCTTCAATTGTTCCATATTTCTCTCAGGACGAAATCCAAACCACTGGCTGCCAAGTGTCACACAGCTTCCTGCCTTCCTATCACTTCGGAAACCCAAGTACTGTCTCTCCGCCCTAGCTGCTCTACTGCTCCCTAACTTCCCCTGCTTGGGACTTCTGCAATAGCACTTGTGCCCACCTCCTTTAGGACTGAAGGATCAGCACAAAAGTGATCATACCTCCTATCAGTGGGCTCCTGGAGGTACCTCAGGAACAGGCTAGGGAGCCTGGTATACAGGTGTTCAACAGGGATAAACGAAGGACTCTTATCAGGAAGTCTGCACATATCTCTCTCCCTTGAGCAAAATTCCTTCCACCCCTTTGCTACAGCCAGACAGCGGAATGACCTTCAGTTACAACTTAGTTCTCCTGGGCACTGCTTCCGGCCCGCTCCCACAGGCACTGCACCTAGTTTAAGGCTGTGGTCATTCACTCCCAACCGCCCAGTTCCCCTAAGCTATCTTTTCAACGTCTTTATTTTCACGGAAGTGATTGGACATACTTTGGCCCAATAAATATTGCTGAGTAAACCTCATAACTTTCAAAATTTTGTAATTTCCAAGGTGTGATAGCAGAGCAGATACCAAATATATGCCAGTAGTACAAATTAATCTCTCAGAGGCAAAACAGAAGCAAAACTGCAGGTAACTGGCCTTAAGACTTAGGTAGTGGATCCCCCTCCGTGAGAGAGGATCCAAGCGGCTCCCCTCCCAGTGCTGGGCAAGGAACCCAGGACGCATAAGGCCGGGAGCGGTCGCTACCCATGAACCACACCTCCGGCCCTCTAGGATGGACTGGAAGTTCAGCGCTTTCCAGGTGTGTGGAGGTGGGCAAGCACAAAAGAACATAAACAAAAGAAACGAGCAGCGCTTGGAAAATTAGCGAAGTGCGGGCCTGGGACAGGACAGCAGGGAAGAAGGAAGCGCCTGGGCCGCCGGCGGCAGCCCTCGGAGCGCAGGGGGCGTGCGGCGCCCCGCACCCAGCGCTACAGCGTCCCCGGCCCGCCGCGGTCCCCGCAGGCCCCCG